AATCAATCGAATTTCAATACATTGGCCCGTTCAGACTGTATGGATACATACATTTTCAGGTACATGTGTACATTCTGGTATACATTTTCTTCGTGAAACAAGAGAACAATATACCACCTTGCAACTGTGCTATAGGATCTTTTAATTACAATCTCCCATTTATAAGTCAATCGCGCGATATATATGTTTGTCATCGTGCGTGTCTCATGCTTATTTAATGATAACAACGGCAAGCACCGGTGAGTCAATGTTGCCTGCAAAAAAAAAAAAAAAAAAAAAAATTCGTGAGTCAAATCAAGCGAATCATCAATAATGACGATTGTAAAATTTTCAACAGCAAAAGCATCTCACCTCTCTCGAGTGTAAAAAATTACAGGGAACGAAGGAGAGTGAAAAAAGACGCTGGTTTGTATATATACACGGTACGGTGGTCAGCTAACGCAATTACACCTTCCGCAAACATCACCCCTTCCCCTACCCCTGCAGCAGCAACGACCACATCAACAAAGTTTGTGTGAAAAATCTGTACACATTGCGGTAGGAAAAGAGATACTACTACTGCCGTATAGAGTATATACGCCAAGCTGGGCAAGAGAGGAAAAAAGAAGGGAACGAGAAAAAAAAAAAAGACAATTTTCCCGAGAGTTGAGAGGGAGGGAAAAGTGTGACCGGACAAAGCCGGCCGTGCAGTCATCCGCGAGTGTACGCGTCTCTCACGTGTATTATCAGAGAAGGCAAAAAAAAAAAAAAAAAAAAAAAGTTACGAAAACGAAACAACGAAGCGCGTCTGTGTGTACAGATCTATACACGCATTAGTTGCTCATCTCGTCAACCGCACCAGAGCGCCTCTATTTTTATTTTCATCATTTACATTTCACTCTTTGTTTTTTCCATCTTTTATTTTATTTTTTTATTTTTTTTTTTTGTCTCTCTGTCGAGCCCACGTTGCTCGTTATTGTGCTCGCTATACGGGAGAAAGAGCGAGAGCATCGCTCGGCTTAATTCAATAATAATTACAATTCACGTGACGATGCCGCTCGCGTTGACGGAGAATGCGTCTCGCGTGAGTCACGCTCATTCGCCGCGCTTATTAGTGCAGGCTATGGTGTCTTGTGCTCGAGCTAAGGCTGTATAGAGAGAGAAAACAACGCTGACCACCACGTACATATTATACTACTTGCAAAGGCGTACTTTGTTCGGGCACTGCTTTTAGTTATCTGTGGGTTCGACGTCGCTCTTTGAGCTGTTTCCATATTCTTCAAATGAAAATGTTTTTGTATCTGTATGTACAAGCGCAAAAGTATCATTTACAGGCTCGATTAATAAGTATTCCCAAGTTTGTATAAACTTGCATTTTTTAAACGCTTCAAGCCTTGGCAATATTAAACAACAGTTTCGGGCTCGAGGGAACATAAAAATTGCGGCTAATGGCCCGTCTGGCGAAGTTTAATCAAATGGCACCACCTCTCTCGTCTAAACGACATTTAAAAAACAGAAACGCCGTCTTTTGAACATACTTTTATATACTGTAGTCGCTTATTAGGTACTGTATAACATACCTGTCCATACACTGTAATGGGCTCGTGCATATTTTTCCTCAGTTGGGATGGATCTCTGAAATCACCGCTGTACGGTCCACGGAGTGCTCTTCTTCTTGGAAAAATAAAAGCAGGTATATAGGTAGATTTAAGAGAGAGAGAGAGAGAGAGAGAGAGAGAGAGAGAGAGAGAAGGGAAAGCATCCGACAAACGCTGTACCCCATAGTTCACGGATCATTAGAGCGGAACTTTTCTCGAAAATGCTCGTTTCGTGGTATACAGCCTTTAAATGTATATTAGTATACGAATGGCGCCAGCGTTTTATTGCCCAACGGTAGTCTCGTTTCTTTTCTTTTTTTTCTGTTCTTTTGAAATAAAGAAAATCTTTCTTTGGGGTAATCATTGGCTGATGCATAGCTTCCGATTTCACCTGCGTTGGTGTGTTTTATTCGATTTTTGTTCTTTAAGGGGGGGAGGGCACTTTGGTACATTTATTTTTATGATTTACGACTGTATTAAATAATTTCATGTGTTTGTCATGTCAAGGATTTAACTGGAATGAGGGAATTAACCAACACTTTCGATCTTTGAGATTTAACATCATCTTGATGCAAATAAAACGAAATATTTGTGTGCTTGATACAAATTTTTTTTTTTTCATCTCAAATAATTTGTGATTGAAACAATTTCTCTGCAGCTATATTTTAGTTGCTTTGTTTTCTAAATAATATAAGAAAAAATTTAAGTGTTGATATCATCTGAATAGGCAAACTAAAAATAGTTGACTAAATATTTTTCATCCAAAAATATTTACAAAAATAAGTGGTTGAACTTATTCTCCGACGTATGAAAAGTATGTGTGTACATAGGTGAAATAAAAATGAAAAATATTTACGAAATTTCACTTTGCTAAGAAGTTACCTTTATAAACATTATTTTTTATGTATAAATTAAACACACAGCAGTCGTGACTAGTCCTTTTTATTCGTGAAATTTGAACTTTATATAATAGCTGTGCCAGCAATTTCTTTGCAATTAAATCCGCGAAAAGAAGTTCAAGTGTCCCTCGTTTAAAAATACACTGCAAACTAACGTGCAGAGAGTAGACAGTTTTTGCACACTCATCATGCTAATAGAACTTTAATTGCAAAAATGATTCATGTGCTTAAAAATCTCAAAGCGCACGAAATAAATCATAAAAAAAAAATCTACGTTTCTACCTCCAAACAAAATTGACCAATCAATTAAGTAAAGCCTCATTCCATTCGATTAAAATGAGTAAAAATTAATTGAAGTGAATCAAGTGCAACTAGCTATTGCGCACGTCTGTGGAAAAAAAAAAGTTACTCGATCAATGCAGCTCGTAAAATCAAAGCTCATCCCCCTGCTGCCCGCCGTTGTCGGAGAAATCGGCATAAAAGATTTCCCTCCCTTTGAAATACGCGAGTGACCGCCGCAGCGCAAACAATCCGATCCCATCCCCTTTGATGTGTTTTACAGCCCAAGCACACTCGGCCTGATACATATATATTATTATGTATATATTTCTTTCCTCTTCTCCCCATCCTCCCTTACCTTTCTTTGAATGGCGTTTTTTTTCAAGCCTCCGCAAGTGCATGCGTAAATAATTAGACGAATATGCGTCAATGCGATCTCCTACACACACACAGACACACGGACACACATACACCGGCTGAATGCGCGACGTCAATCGCTCTTTCCTCTTTGACTTTTATTTCCCTCTCTCCCTCCACTTTTTTTTTTTTTTTTTTTTTTTTTTACTGCAGTAGCAGCTGTTGGATGACGCACACTTGACTATTTCCGTTTGTTTGGTCGAATATAAATACACCGTGTACACACATAGGGGAGCGTTTTAACCCCTTGTAGTCTTTTTAACGAGTCAAAGTTTTTTTTTCTCCCTCATTTCCAGTAATACGACACGTAATTCACACGCGAGCTTTTTCGTTGTTTTGTCTCGCACGTCCTCTTTGTCCGAATGATTATCTATTTTTTGTTTTGTTCGAGCACTTTTTTTTCTACCGAACGATCACGTAGATTTACGAGATTTCAGCTAAACACGGGCAAAGGAGGAAAACCGCGCGTGGGTATCGTAGTTAAGAGATCATGGAAATTGAAACTTGTTTACCGTGAATTGAAACAAAAAAAATTAATTCAGGTATTTTAATTATTGCACTCTGCTCGTCTGTCTCTCTCTCTCTCTCCGTATTGAAGCGCAATTCGCGATATGACTTTTAGATCAAAGATTAAATTTTTTTATAAAAAATTTTAATGAAAAAAATAGACTTTTAGTCGAAATAATAAGTTTCATCATCAATATCAGAGAAGGGGAGTATGAGAAGGTGCTCTATTCGAGAGAGAGAAAGCAAATTTAATTATCGACGCAGATAGAGAGAGAGAGAGAGAGCCCGGGCTTAAAATCCCAACTAATGAGATTAGTAGAAATTTAATTAGGTCGTCGTAGCTGCCATCACACGAGATCAGCTTTGATTGTAGTTCGTTATAGAGTCCATAACATATATATATACGTATGAGGAAAATAGTGTAGGTATTACACGTAATCAACAAAGTCTTACTCGATCTCTTTTCCCTTCAATATCTTTATTTCCGAAGTATCGTCGCAATACGTCATTGCTCCGACGATTAAGTAAATCTCAAAGCATAGGTCCTAGGGTGCGATCTCCCTTTCTCTATTTTGCCGCGGTGATACGTTTAGAAAACAAAGGGAGGCGAAAAAGATAATTATCTACAGCGGAACAGATAAATGTATATACACCACATGTGAGCCTTTCTTCTTCCTTTATCATAGTCATATAACAACACCACACGCTGTGTGATTTACTTCGAGTATATCCTCTTTTTTTTTTTTTTTTTTCTTCAAAGTAGCGAATTCAGAGAGAGATATACATACAATAGCCTCTGTATAAAAGAGACTTCCGAGCGAAGGTGATAACGTACTCGGCGCTGTTGGATTTGCGTTATCGCGCGCCATTCAGAAGCCCATACGCATAAATATATGGGCGAGCAAGCAGCCCAAGCTTTATTAACGCGTAAAATTATAACAATGCAGCGTGTGTGCACACGCGTTGAATTTCTCTTTCTTGAGCCACCTATATACGTAATCATTATAGGAGATAGGGGGGCACACGTGTATATAGCAGGAGAGAAACGCCAGAGTATATATATATATATTGTACACGTGTATGCCTTGTGTTCCGTTGGGAAATCGATGTTCTATGTAGGGCGACAATTAAAAGTTCCCTCTCGATGTACTGTATTTATGTAGTAATCATTATTAGGACGATGTAGGGTACCGGAACAACGATTATTGTATTTGCCTGTATATATATACTTTTTCTCTTATATAATGTACAATACTATTTGCACTATGTGTACCGTAGGAGAGTATAATAATTGATTTTTTTTTCCCCCTTTCTGTTGCAGATAAACCTTCGCCTCATCCTCGTTAGCGGTAAGACAAAAGAGTTCCTATTCAGTCCGAGCGACTCCGCGGGGGACATAGCCCATCATGTCTTCGAGAATTGGCCGGAAGGTGAGTTATCGTTGCTGCTTTTGCTCGGTATTTTAATTACATGGGTATATTACGTTATACTGATTCGACACAGGCGTGCAGATTTTTTTTATTTCGCATGACTTTGTGACCCGAATTCGCGACTTGGTTTGATAATAATAAATAATTTTTTTCATAAGATTTCTGTGGTAGACAAAGGGGGACATTATCGTCAAATAACTGCTTCAACTATACTTTTAATCGATGAATGGTTACAAAATACTTGGACAAAGTTGCGCCGAGCGAGTCACGTTGGAGAGAGAGAGAATCTTGCGTGAAAACGGTGTCAGGGCCGCGATACTGACCATTTGTATATTTTTTTCCTACTGCGCACGTATCAAAAAGAAAGAAAGAAAAAAAAAGGATTTTCTCTCTTCCGTCCAAATACTTTGCTCTTGAAGTTTTTTTTTTTTTTTCTTTATGCCTCAATTCAACCGATGTAAAACTATAATTGAATTGAGAAACAACGCGTCGGGAGCGCGCGAATGTATAACGGGACTGTCCAACCCCTCCTCCTTTTTTTCCAACAATAAAAAGATGGACGCTTTAAAATCACCGCTTCCTAAATATTACGTGAATCTGTACATCTCTGTAAGTGCGGGGGGGCCACAAAGTTTTTTAAGAAAATAAAAAAATCATTAGAAAAAATTGAACATTTGGTAAATTAGTACGTGTTAAAAAAAGGGGGGTTTTATAGACGATAAAAAAAAAAAAAAAAAAAAAAAAAAAAAAAAAAAAAAAACACATTTATGTTTCCACGAGCATAAAACTAACAGTACACTGTGAATTTGTGTCCCCGATATCCGCACGCACAACCAGATTGGACGGAAGAGGCGGTGGCCAAGGCGGAGATCCTGCGGCTGATATACCAGGGCCGCTTTCTGCACAGCAACGTCACGCTCGGGGCGCTCGGGCTTCCATTTGGAAAAACGACGGTGATGCATCTGGTGCCGCGGGAGAACCTGCCCGAGCCCAACTCTCAAGGTACGCATGCACATAAAAATACATGCTTTTATTCAACTGCACGTGTACAATATATATTTTTTCATTTTTTTTTTTTTTTTTTTTATAAAAATACGCCTCCGAAATCCCAATCGATGCTTAATTATATGCTTATTTTTGTCTCTATTTTCTTTTTTTTTCTTTTTCATTTTTCTACTACATTTTACAATAACCCCTTCCCCGCTGTATCCACATTCTTTTTTTCCTTCTTTTTTTTGCTTTTGTTTCCAGGTATCCTTCCTACCGGCGAGCACATGTTTGTCCAGCCCTGCGATGACGACTGAAAGTAGCATCCTCTCTCGTTGCTTTTTCTCTCTCTCTCTCTCTCTCTTTCTCTCTCTCCGACTCTATATCTCTCTCTATATATCCTTCTCTCGCTGCATTGCACCACCACCTTTTTTTTTTTTCTTTCTTTCTATACTTATACCTGCATTAAATTGTATTCACCTGCACGGTAGTCGTCGTCGACGCCATTACCACAACTGCCAAACAGTCGTCCTATGCAAAAAATAAAAAAATCTTCCTGTAAAGTCTGCATCAATAAAGCTTATTTGCGCACACCCAGAGTAGTGTATGTTATAGTATGTATATATGTATGATGTGTTGCTCGAAAAAGAAATTCTTTACCCGCTGGATACTGATTTGCTGTGCTTACTTTTTTAAATTATTTTCTTTGAAAAACGCTTCATCATTGTATTTTTTATTTTTATTTTTTTTTATTTTTTTTTTCTTCTCAAATTGTGATTTCAGATCAGAGGCAAAAGAGCAAAGGCGGAGGGAGCAGTTGCTGCGCGGCTTCCTGCTGCATCCTGTAAACGCGGGAGGACGCGCTCGCAAGCGCGCGCGCACACACACACACAAACACAAGGACACTCAAAGACACGCGGGTCTCACACTCACTCTCTCTCTCTCTCTCTCTTCTGTGGCGATGAAATGTCAAGGGAGCATCGTTGTGCATGTGCTGGGCCTCCCCTTTGTATTGTTTCGTTGTCAAAGTATCGCGAGCCGGCAGGAGAGAGGGTGAGAGGGAAAAAACGAAGAAAAGTCGCAGCTCGACTGTAATATATATATACGAATACTTGTATGATACACGATATACCCGATATGGCCATCTCGCAGCTTCTTCCGAACCTTGGCACTCCGGGGGTTTGTTTAGCGGCTGTGCTCGACGCCGTCTTCGGGGGAAGACCGACACGAGGCGGATCAGCCCCCTATATACATGCCAGCTTCCCTTCGTCTTTTCGTTGGTCCATCGCTGAGAAACATATTATTAAAAACATAAGAGCAGAGAGAGAGAGAGAGAGAGAGAGAAAGAATAATCATCGTTCGTATAGTATAATTATAGCGTGCGACGCTTTTGTGATAAAACAGAACAAAAAATGAAAAAAAGAAATCGACGGTATGCCGATGAGTAGAATCAGACGGGGCACGCTCGATGAATTGTCTCCGATGTACAAGCCGTGTGTGGGCGAGAGCAGTGTAATTGTTGTAATTGTTGATTTTGTTGTTGGTGACGACACGTGTGTGATCGCGTTGTTTTTCCCCGAGAGGGTGCGAGAAGAAAAAAAACAAAAAAACAAAAAAACAAAAAAAAATGTATCAAAACGCGTGACATCGCATGTGTACAGAAGCCGCGAGCTGCTGCGCTACAAGTTAGCTATACGAGGAACGAACGAAGAGGGAGGGAAAAGGCGCGTTGCCGCTACGGTTTTTCATTATCGTTACGTGTATACTGCCGTACGCGGGCGATTCGTATATAATGTACAAAAGAAGAAACCGAAGAAAGCGCGATGTACATCTCCGTTCATAAATATAGTGGTACACGCTAAGTTCCGCATACAGAGAATTGGGGCCTGGGGAATCCCCGTGAACGAGCCGCGTATTTTAAGATCGTCGTAATTGCGTTTGCTATACATACACACACGTGTACGACATACACTCTGTATCACAGGTGACATAACAATAATAATGACAATGATAATTATACCGGTAGCAGCAGGCGTCTGCTTTCGCCTCGCAACGCGCGCTTCTTCCGGTTTCTTCTTTTTTCCTCCACGATTTCGATCGATCTCCCATGCGCGCAACACGCTGCGAAGCCAGTCGTTTTCCGCCTACGCACGCATCATATACACGTCGGCGTTCATTCTCACCGTTTTTTTTTTTTTTTTTTTTTTTTTTCGCTCTCCACGCGCGCGCTTACTCGCCTCTGATGCGCGTACCTCGATCCCCCCCCCCTGTCATTATCGCACCTGTACCGATGATCCCCGATTACTTGCGTGCGTATACACATGTATACACTCCATTGAGCGCTCATTTAAGTTTACAGCAACGAATCGCAGTGTGTACATAAATATATTAACGATGAAAATGACGAAAGATGTATTATACGGAGAAGTGGGCACTCTCTCGCTTTGACACGGGGTACTACTATATTATACAGGAGGGGACGGAAGTGTGTATGTGTCAAGGCGTGCGAAAACTAAAAGTCGCGCTATACTCGCGAACAGCACACACACACACACACACACACACACACACACACACACACAAGTATGGTTGGCTCTCTAATAATTCACTCGTGCAATTTTTGTCCGAGTTACCTTTGTGTTCTTTGGTTTTTGTGTTTTCAAGGGAGAATCTTTGGGGGCTGCGGCTCTGCGATCGTATATATTGTAGACGCGTCATGATGAAGATTATAATTTAAAACGCGACGAATTTATTTTCCGTTGCTCCGGTTGGAAAATTTGTTTGTCTTTCTCACGAAAACTCCAAGTATACCAAACTCTTGGATGTGTGGTTTTGTACTGACAGTATATACAATATACGTTACTCAATGTGTTGTCATTGCTATGTTGTCTTTAATATTATTACACATTATTTGATATAGCGGTCGTTGATTCAGTTCTAAACTGAACAATAATTTACCAATATTTTGCGTCCAGCGTGTTTTTTTAAAATTATTTTTCGAGCATGAAATTTATAGTAAACCTTTTTTTGTGTTCTTACTTGTAAAGCCACCGAAATTCTGCGTATAGTTACGAGAGAATATTTATCATTATTACAGCAGCGGATTTTATTTTATTTTTTCTTTCACACATAATTTTATTACTGTTTCACCGTCGATGGAGTAGACGCATCTTATTGTTTCTTTTTTTCTTCTCACACAAGTTCACGCGTTAGTGAAATTTTTTTTTTGCACTTGTTACAAGGTTGTACGCCGTGTTGTTGCTTGGCGCAATAAATGTTTGTGCAATTTCGATGTTATGTTAATTTTTAACCGAGTGCTATTGTAAAAAAAAAAAAAAAAAAATCGGGAGAACGTGGATCATCAGCAGAATAAGGTTACCTACTCTCGATGTGAAAATTTCGAAAGACAAAAATCATTGTTCTTGAATGCTGTGTAATTAGTAAAACTCAAACAATCCATGTACCTCGGCTGAAACACGTGTGCGCGCACGAGCCCGAGACATTTCGAAATCAATGATTTTCGTAAGTGTCGGAGAACCACATGTTTAAGCGGAACTCAAAAAATGTGAGAAAGAGCATGTGGGAACAATAGGATAAAAGAAGAAAAAGCAAGTGTCTAATAATTGTCCTGATATTTATATTGTGTGTATGGAAAAACGAAACAATAATAAGTGTGCTGCGTTGAGCGTAAACCAATTGTCCAACTTGATGGTGGAGATAAACAAAAGAAAAAAGAAAATAAATTTAGTTAACGTATTAGTGTGAAGCGGAGAATCACGATGTATAAAGAATAAAAAAAAAAAAAAAAAA